CATGTTGTAATTTATCATCATCAACTATTCAACAATTATTTATTAAGAGCTAATAAAATACAGTTATAGAAACTAGGGAATAATTATGAATAAAATATTGTTCCTTTATCAACTTGCTTACTATGTCATGAAGGAATTTAATATAAATCTCGAGTATGATGCTGGGTATGAAAAATATCATAATGCAATTAATACGAAGTGAAAGTCATGATTTTTGATGGCAGAGTAAAAACCACATCTTCCCAGAGAATAGGGCAGTAAACCAGACCTTGAAAAATGAATTCTTTTTCCACTGACAGAGTGTGGGTAGAAATTTATCTAAACTGAGAAAAGATTATTTCTTTTTCCATTAATGCTTATATTCAAAAAGTTTTATTTAACATGTACATTCCATCTCTCTGATGGAATAAAGGTGATGGGATTTTCCCATCTACTTTAGCCACTATTAGGTAAAGTTTAATTCCCCTCTTCTTAAGTCTGGTTGACCCTGGTCTTTTTTTCACCAATGGAATACAGTTGAAGCCAGAGCTGAGCCTTCAGTACATTTGCAGCCCCTCTCTCTGCTATTTGCAACGTGCACTTTTGCAATCCAGCTATCCAGTGAGGAGCTAAGGCACGTCAAAGTCATGTGTAGGACACATATAAATACATTAACCTAGCATTTCAGAAATCTAAATAATGGTTGAATTAGGGAAGAAGAAAAGCGTAGACTAGTCTGGGATGTTGCTGATCTTTTATGACTTTACCCAGGTGTTGCATATATGGGTGTTTCCTTTGGATAAATCACTGAGCTGTACAATTGTAATTGTAAACTTTTCATATGTGTCTTATAGTCAGTAAATGTTTGTAGAAAATAGATCTTTTTCATACCCATGCATAAAATATATGAAGAATGAGTCTCTTCGAAATAAATACATTTGTAATATGCATATGTACAGATATGTAATTATCAGTAGCAGACTTAGTGCAAACTGGATTGGGGAAAATTCATCGATCATTGAATTTATCTTGGGCAAAGGGAGAAAGGAATTAACATTGAGAGCCTGTGGTGTAGCAGCCATTTGGGGGGGGGAATACTAAATGTGGCTTTTTGTCTTTTTTTATAATGACTTTAGAAGTTCTTTTGAGATGGAAATTCAGCTTATTGTGAGACATTCTGAAATTGTGTGCAAATAGCAGTGTTTTGTACTTTAGTGATAGAAGAGTTGTGTGCTATATCAGTGTCGACCATGAGCCTTTAGAAGTGTGATGCTGCATTAAACTGGAAGCGGAATGGAGAGGGTGACGGAAGTGTAAGGCCAGTGTAGATTGCATTGTGAGTGTGTTGCAATGAGGTTACCACCCTGGTGTCTGCAGCTGACCCCTTGATAAAACAGAACAAAGCCCAAAACTCACAAGAGTCCAAGAATGATTTGAGGCTTAAATAAGAAGATGCTATTATAGTTTTAAGCTAACAAGGTTTGATTATTGTTTTGTTTTTTGGTTTTTGTTTTCCTTCTAGGGACCCTGTCTTCTGTTGTTACTTCTTCCATTTGTAACCACTCAACCACTCAATGTTGGTCCTCCTTATGGGTACCAGAAATTCCACCCCACCTTTTATTCTGAACTTTCTTACTGCACAATATTTTGAGTGAGGGCTTTCTGCATCTTTCCTAAGACATATAAGTGAAGATGTCTGAGGCATCTTTGGGGTCTCCAGTTCCAAAGGCCCGATGAGATAAAGGCTTTGCCCCATGGTTCTACATAGTACATATTGATTCCTGGAAATACTGGATACAAAAGCTTTCTCATCTAGGGGCAATCAAAAGGAAGTTGGTGAAAATAAGATATAGGGATACTAAAAGGCAACATGTGCACATCAGACCTCAAAATCCTCACCAGAAGATGATCAGGTATGGATGCTAGTTTGAATGAGGTTTATGTCTGGTCTTCAGGATATTCCACAGACCCTTTCCAGGACCAGCCTCAAATACCTGAGACTGGACCTATTTTGTAAACATGGCGGTCTGAAGATGTGGTGATGGCCATATCATATGGTTCGGGTGCATGCCAGAAATCTCAATGAAGACCAGGCTTGTAATGATTACAGCTACATTAACTACATAGACAAGTAAATAGTAACACATTAAATTATACAGAGGAGTAAAGAGGACATTCAATAACCTCATATTCTACAGGTAAATATAGTTTATTCTATCTTTATTTCTGTTCCTAGCCTTGGGAAGCAACACATGATTAGTGACCTTGACAGATCTGGGGATCATGCTAACAGCCCTTTACACCAGTGTGATAACGGATCCTATATAGGTCTGCACAGCCAAGAGAAACATGCAAAACTAATCATTCTTTTGATTCAGTCGCTGTTTTGGAACAGATGGCAACAAAATCTGGAGCATGAAAGAGAAAATACAAGTGAATGAACAGAAAAACTGACCTCTGAATGAGCAGACAGTTCAGAAAATAATTAAAACAATTTTCTACTTACTACTCTCAGATTTTAAAGTACTTTGCATCCCTATCAAAAGAACATGATGTGATGAAATCGGAATTAGAGAGCATGAAAAAAAAGTATTGATGCTAATATACTTTTAAATGAATTAAATGGGTCAAATAGGTGAACTGATTTAAACAGTGCAATGGAAAACAGAGTAAAATAATTAAGACATTGAAAATATAAACAAACAAATTGGGATCAAAGGTAGGAAATGAGGCATTTGTCTATAAACAGTCCAGGGAAAGAAGAAAAAAAGAGAAACACATATCATATATAGGTATTGATTCATATCAGAAACACTGCAGAAAGAAAGAAACTAAGAAATAACCATGTAGTGGCAAATGCAATGGACCCTTGCACAAAAGTCCATCAGCAACAAATCTTCCAGGTGTTATATTCTAAACCTCTGGCCATTCTTGGTTTTATTTTATTTATTTTAATTCTTTCGTGTTTATTATTATGTTTGATCGCTTGATCTTGTAGTAAAATCTGTTTTCATTAAGCTATGAGCTAACCACCATGGCAAGTGAGTATTTCCTCAATGATGATGATACTGACCCTGGTTTTCCTGACAGTTTTACCTGCCTTCTCAGCCAGTGTGTGCTGGTAAGTCAGTGTGTCACATACAGTTAAAGACATTGATGTATGAGATTAACTGAGTGCCCCAATCTATTCAGCTCTTAGTTACATTTAAGCATGTTATAGTAGCTGTACTTTATTTAGGAAACAATACATGTTTATATCATGATGCTCCACGAAGACCTGGGAGAAGTAGAATACTTTCACTTCAATAAATCTTACATGTTCTTCAGTATCCTATTTCCTGAGTTTTCTTCCAACTATAATACCCTGAAGTAGGTAAGAGTTGGCAACTAGGAAGATGGAAGAGATAGTTGGAAGATGGAAGAGGTAGATGGAAGAGATGTTAAATGAGCAAGTAGGTCAGTAAGTAGTTGAATAAAGGAATATTAGATAACTAGAAGCCTAGCTGACAAATAATCTGCTTATGTGTAGCATGTATAGTGAGTCATGATAACTGCTAATTTTATAAAGGTCAGAGCTGAGTGGTTGCAAATAAGAGTTTGAGTCAAATCATCAATTTATTTATTTATTTATTTATTTATTTATTTATTCTGAGAAAATCTTTATTCCTCCTTCACTTTTAAAGGATTATTTTACTGGGCACAGAATTAGATGTTGATGCATCTGATTTTTTTCTTTCAAAATTTTAAATATTTCACTCTTATTTGATTTCTGAGGAAAGGTCCATTATAATTTTTATCTTTTTCCCCTCTCTATATAAGGTGATTTATTTATTTATTTATTTATTTTATTCCAGCTTCTTTCAAGAATCTCTCTTTATCTTCAGTTTTCTATAGTGTAAATTAGATATACCTACGTGCGTGTGTGTGCGTGTGTGTTTTAATATTTATTCTGTGTGGTGTTCTCTGAACTTCCTGAACCTGCTACTTGGTGTTTGTCATTAATTTTGAAATGTACTTGGACATTATTATTTTCAAACATTTCTTCTGCTCTGTTCTGTCTACTTCTGGTATTTCAATTACACATATGATGAAACATTTAAAACATATAAAGTTGCCCAATGGGTCTTGGATTGTCTGCATTTGAGGATAATTCTTACTATTTCTTCTCTTTGCATCTCAGTTTTAGAAGTTCCTATTTAAAATATAGTCAATATTAATGATTTTTTTTTCTACACCATCTCCATTCTACTAAGGAGCCTACCAAAGGTATCTTGCATTTTGTTTTAATATTTTTTATACCTAAAATTTCCTTTTTATTTTTTCCTAGTTTCCATCTCTTTGGTTTTATAATGCATGCTTTTACATATTGTGTATGTTTTCTATTAGAGCCCTTAGCCTACTAATTCTAGTTATTTTAAGTTTTCTGTTAGTAATTCCAACATTCGAGTCTGAGTCTGATGATTGCTTTGTCTCTTCTGATTGTATCTTTTTCTTGGCATTTTGGGGTATCTTGAATTTTTATCTTTCTGTTGAAAGCCAGACATATTTTATTAGGTGACAGGAACTGACGTAAATATGCCTTTAGTGGGAAGATTTATGATATTCTGGTTGGGGGTTGAACTGGGTTTAAAGTACATTACAGCTATAGGTTCTAGAGGTTTCAAATTCCTCTATGGACCTTGTTTTTTATTTCCATTTAGCTTTGCACTTTAGACTTGCTCAGAGTCAGTGTCTTGAAGCCTTTTTAGCTACCATGCATGAATCATCATTCTGATGGAACCCTGGTGATGTAATGATATCATGTGCGAGAGTGGGAGCATTCTGTGATTTTCTTATTAAATCTTGGTGTTTTTGACAACCTGTGGTCTGGGTCTCTGACCTCCAAAAGAGTGTCTCCATTGGTATGGCTTCCTTCTTTCCGCACCTCATTCCTACCTCACTTCCAGTGCTGCAATACTCCCAAATTATGTTCTTGAAGCTCTGATCCCTGTTGACTTTTTTTTTTTTTAATCTGAGACAGAGACTGTGGAAAGAATGCCTCTCCCCCATGTGACATATGGTTCTGGCAATGTCTTTTCTCCAGAGATGTAGGCTTTCATTATGGAGAAGACTCTGGGCACATTTCACAGTTTTTACTCTTCCTCTGTGCCTGCCAGAGGCATGAGTGTATCTTTCTCAAATATTCAGTGTGAAAACCTGATGAGATTCCAGAAGATAAAGACTTCAATTTCTAGAAGTTTCTCCATCTCATGGTAGTCCACCCTGACCTCCAGCAATTCATATAAAATGACCGGTAGGTGTTTTTACACGTCTATGCCTCCAGCAACTTCTACTCTAGGTGTGAAGATTATGACTATGTGTCTCTGGATTTGAGAGTGGTGTTTTGCTTTGAGAACTTAGCTCTCTAATGAGTTCATGATAGGTCATTGATTTCCAGGTTGTTCAGCTTTTCATATAATACGGGAGTGAGACTCCAGTCTCTTCAGGGATAAGGGTTGAAACCAGAAGTCTGCATCTTTTTTCCAGAGAGGGAGACAGCAATGTCTCCCTAGGAAGCTCAGCCAATGTGGACCCTTGGGCCCCTCTTTCTTAATAGGCAGGAGTGGATCCCACAACCACTACAGGCTCTTTCCTCGTTTTCCTATCTCCTCCTCCTTGTCAATTATTCTGAGTTATTCCATCTGGACTGTAAGAGTCTCATCATTTTTCCTAACTCCAACAATATTGAGGTGTTTCACTACTGCATTTCTTGGTAGAGTGTTTGCTGCTTGTTGAACTTTCAGTGCAACTTTTCTGTACTTTTAATTTTTTTTTAAATTTAAATACCATATGGTTTGAGATGGTTGTGGTGTTTTAAAATATTTGTTTAAGATTATAAAGATTATAGTCTTATTTTAACCTATAAAACAAGATTAACAAATTGTCTCAGAGTTGAACTATTTATATTTTTCTTAATATTAATTTTTAATCACTTCACGATTTGTCTAGATTTTCTGAAAAAAACAAAACAAAACAAAACAAAAAACACCCCATAGTACACATAGGAAAAGAGAGGAAGTCTATGTTAAATGTTCTGTGAATAAGAGTGTGGTTATGTATGTCTGGATGTCAGTCTATTATGCTACAGGATACAAAGAATGCATTGGCAATATAGGCTCAAGCAGGGACCTCCAGGCAGAAAGGCAATGAGGGCATTAATATCCTATCTCTGGCACCCCACAGACAACTGTTTAGACCAAGATGAAGCTGGATGCTCTTTACTCTGAAAGAGAGCCACTGACACTCTGTTGAGCTCATTTTTTGGCAGTATAGATGTGATAGTCACCTTATACAAGTAGAATATTTGATGACAGATAGTCTGAAATATGTGCATCAATTGCTAGTAAAGCCAGTTGCCCAGCTGAAACCAGCTGCACATAAAATCTTTAGTGCCCACGAGGGAGCTACTAGCCCTTGGGCTCTGGGCAAGAAGTCTACAGGAGGCTCCATTCAAGCACCCGCCTCTTGTAGTGCAGCAGAGGTGATCCCATTTCTAGCTACCAGACAAACAAGCATGAACAATCCTTGATGAACTCAAAAGATAATTCTGAATCCTTCTCTTTACAAGTGAAAGTTTGATCTTTTCTCTGATTCACACCATGTTCCTCCCCTTGGTGGGAGCCTCACTCTCCCAGCCTCCATTCCGCTGGTAACCTGGCCATCAGAACCACTTGCCTGGACTTTGCTTTGGAGCTAGTGACCCCTGGACAGACACAGCCTGGACCTCTCTCCTTTACAATGGTGGCAGGATTACAGGGAGACTGAACACCTCCTGGGACTAGAGCGGCAGCCGTGCTGGAAGCAGGACCAAGATGAGCATACATGGTGTGGTGTCCTGTCCTCACTGACCATGCTGGTGATGCTGCCTAGATCGCTTTAGTGACCTAACTTGGGCCACTGTTCTGCTTATGTAGCCTCCAACTGATTCTCATGGTAAACCTTTGCAATAGTTAAAACAATTATGAAATGATGAAAGCATCTGCACATGGAACTGGTAATGAAAAAGATGTTTCAGGGTTCACATAGGATAAGATCTCTGGAAAACGGACTTCTAATTATATGGATTTCATTCATAACTGTAGCTGCTTCTTCTTCTTCTTCTTCTTCTTCTTCTTCTTCTTCTTCTTCTTCAGGTTTGAGAGACAGAGCGTGAGCAAGAGAGGGGCAGAGAGAGAGGGAGAAAGAGAAACCCAAGCAGGCTCCACACTCTCAGTGCAGAGTCTGATGTGGGGCTCGATCCCACAAACCATGAAATCATGACCCAAGATGAAATCAAGAGCCAGATGCTTAACTGGCTGAGCCACCCAGGGGCCCTACCTGTAGCTTCTTTTTAAAATAATAGCCGACTTTTTTTCTCCTCACTTTATTTCACTATTTTGCTCACTTTTCAGGGTTTGGTTTTCTTTCAGCATCAGTAAGAAAAAAAACCCTGGAGGGATGGGGAAGCTGGTGGCAGAGGAGGGGGACACTGGGCTCATTTCATCCCACTGATGCAGCTAGATTACTATCAAATCATTCTCAATGATTTCACTCATATGTGAATTTAAGAAACAAAGAAAATGAGCAAAAGAAAAAAGAAGAGAAAGAGAGAAAGAAGCCAAGAAACAGACTCTTAATGATAGAGAACAAACTCAGAGTTGACGGGGGGAGGGGCCTGTTGGGAGGGATGGGCTTGATGGGTGATGGGTGCTAAGGAGTGCACTTGTGATGAGGACCAGGTGTTGTACGGAAGTGTTGGATCACTATATTATACACCTGGAACTACTATCACACTGTATGTTAACTAACTGGAATTAAGATAAAATGATGAAAGAAAGAGAGAAAGAAAGAAAGAAGGGAAGGAAGGAAGGAAGGAAGGAAGGAAGGAAGGAAGGAAGGAAGGAAGGAAGGAAGGAAGGAAGGAAAGAAGGGAGAAAAGAGACAGGGAAAAAGAAATTTCTGAAATAATATAACTAATATAATTATCACTAAACAAATAAAACATTTTGTGCCAAACTTATTCTGAGATGGCTATATTTTGTCCCTGATAAATAAAGTAATAGAAAGAAATGAAGATAAATTGGATGGAAGATACATCTATGTCTATATCTATACCTGTAAAGAACCACTAAGATGTCACATCTCATAATTCATCACCAGCAAAACAGAATGTCAATTTTAGAGCCTAATTTAAAAATAGGCATTTCTTTTATACATTTTTATTAATGCAAATTTAGTGCCCTTAAAACGGTTCAAAAAATTGTAGCACATATCTTAGATTAACGTTAGGGTTGATAGGATGAAGCTAAATCATTTTATACAAGACTGAGAAAAAGCTTAGCTATTTAATTCAGGCAGTAAAAGAACAAATATCCTTTAAAATATTATCAGAGAAGAGCCAACAAAGAGCTAACAAAGAGAAGTTAAGATGGCACTATTTCCTTCTTCTTTGTAAGGGATATGATTCAAGTTAGCCCACAAACCTCTCTATGACATGGATACCCTATTTTGAGTATTTTAGAGACCACCTAAGCCCTCTTTTCATTAAAAAAAATTTTTTTATGTCTTTATTTTATTTTGAGAGACAGAGCCAGAGAGCAAGCGAGGGAGGGGCAGAGAGAGAGGGAGACACAGAATCTGAAGCAGGCTCCAGGCTCTGAGCTGTCAGCACAGAGCTCGACGCGGGGCTCGAACCCAGTTACCATGAGATCATGACCTAAGCTGAAGTCAGATGCTCAACCGACTGAGGCCCCCAGGCGCCCCTAAGCCCTCTTTTCAGAACCATCGTAGGAAGCAGAGAGCTCAGTTACGGAGAGGTGTGTCACTGCATAATACATGAAGGCGGAGGGGCAGGGAGGGGTGCTTACTAGAAAGAAATCTTGCACTAGGAGCTGGTGAGAGAAACGAGCTGATCGCCTGATCCCACGCAGGCTCCACATGGTATATTGTTGCGGTTCATCGTCACCCTGGGGGAACGACCTGCTCCTGTGTGTTGGATGGAAGTAGCTACAGTGATACCTGCCAGACTCTGTCAATGGATGAAGTCATGTGCATAAGCCAGCTCTTCACCTGAAAGGAATTCTGCCCACAGTATTGGTGGAGATGAACAGGGCTGACGGAAATCCACACGGTGACCGGGAAACCCAGTGTCTGATTGGATATCTATTCCCTGTACACGTAATGATATAAAAAAATAACCTGGAGATGCATGAAACGAATTACTAAAGAATAGGGGAAGGGAATGATTTTTCTCAGTATTGAAGAGTAAAGTTCATCCAACAATAATTTGATCCCAGGCATCCTAAAATAATTTCGGTAAACTATTTGATTCCCTTAACAGATTAGAAGAAGGTGTAGCCTTTTGGAATGAGATTAAAAAAAAAACAAAAAAACCCAAGATGAAAAGAAAGTATAGTTTGGTGCATGGAAATCAGGTGAGAGGCAAAGACAGAAAGTGCAGGTTCTTGGTTACGCAGAAGCAGAAGCGTCAAAGAGCAAGATAAGAATCCTCACTGGGGGTAATATATGTATACAGAGATTTGAGGGACAAAATAATAAACTGGAATAGATTAAATTTTTGAAGGTTTTTCCAGGAAAGCAGAGGAAAGTTAAAACGACTTAAAATGATGAGAGAGAGAAAAAAAATGGCATACAGGTATTGAGTCCCGAGAACAGAGATTCAAATTAAGAATGTATTTGCAGAGATAAAACCTGAATAATTACAATGAAAACAATAAAGGAAGAATGAAATTGAATATAACTTATGGAATAGGAGGAAAAGAAACCTGAGTAATGTTGTAAAATATTCCACATTCTAATTTTGATTTCCTATTTTTACTTATAGCATTTTCCACATGGTTTAATGTTTTATTCAAATTTTATGGTTTTCTGGGGCACCTGGGTGGCTGTGTCTCCCTCTCTCTCTGCCCCTACCCTGCTCTCTCTCTGTCTCTCAAAAAAAAACATTAAAAATTTAAAGTTTACAGTATTCTCAACATTTTATGGCATTATAGAAAACTGTTGGGGAGATTTTTCCTACAAATCTAATTTTTAAAAATTTTTAAAAATGTTATTTTTGTTGACCAAGAAATAGATGCTGAGGTAGTGATTTGTGCTGGTCAGTGCTCTCCACCCATTCACAGTGAAACCGCTGGCTGTAGCGAGCTACGGATTTGCCCCAGGTTAATGAGGTGGCCACGTCTCAGCCTTCCTGTCTGAGGAGTCATGACAGCAAGTGACGTGATGACAGCAGAGATGTGATGTGGACTCTTTCTGCAAGGGTAGCATGAAGAGAGCACACTGTGCTTGTGCTCAGCCACTTAGATTCACAACTGTTTCCTTTTTTTTTTTTTTTAATTTATCTATTTCTGAGAGAGAGAGACAGCATGAGCAGGGGAGGGCCAGGGAGAGAGGGAGACACAGAATCAGAAGCAGGCTCCAGGCTCTGAGCTATCAGCACAGAGCCCGACACAGGGATCAAACCCATGAACTGTGAGATCATGACCTGAGCCGAAGTTGGACGCTCAACCGACTGAGCCACCCAGGAGCCCCGACGGCTGATTCTTACCACAATGCAATTTAGTCTTATTAATATGAATGCTTCCTGAAGAAAACACGAAAAAAAAAAACCCAGAAGCCCCCCCAAGGGGAAATCTCGAACCTGGCCCCCAGTAGTAAGCTTCATAAATATTTTGGAGTGTTTCTTCCCCTTGTCTTCATTTGCATGTATATCTAGCTATGAATTAAATCTGGTAACCGTCTTTCTGTTTGTTAAAGCATCTTCTCCGACCCCATGATTTTAATATTTGTCTAGCATCTCATCACATAGGGATAAATTATTTGGGTTAAACAAAGAGTTTCTGTTGGTTGTTTTTAATTTGTTCCGCGTTTTGCCAAGAAATCAAACCTATTGCCAAATGAAGGTCCCTGAGGGAGTGCAGTGTATTCTGTTCCAGAGACATAGCATTGCCCCTTCCTGCATCTGCCCCCACAGCTGCTTTTTTGGGGGCTGAATTCTGGTGATGACTTCCTTCCAGCTTTGGCTCTAATGGCTACCCTTCATGTCTTGTCAAGGTCACTTTGTTCCTATGACTGATACCCCTCTGGACCTCTCCCAAGCCAAGTCTTTATCTCGCTTTGGTGCAACCCATAGGAACCTTTGTTTCTTTTCTTCCCATGCCAAATACAAGAGTAGCTCATGATTACTGCTTGGAGTCTCTGCCTAATACTCTTCCTCCAAGTCATTACAGGAACATGAGACTAAGTGCCAACCTACCTCTCCCAAGAGTCTCAAATGGGATGCCATCTTAACGCCTCTCTGAATTTGTATTTCTCTTCCAAGATGAGCCAGCCCCAAGAGGAAGCTCTCCTCTGATAGGTCTTCCTTGCTTTTTCTCCCTCTGTCTGCGTCTACTTCCTTTCTCTCTTCTCGTCTATTCCATGGTCTCATGTGTGCACTACAGGACCGACACTTCTCTCCCTTTCCCCAAAGACTATTCTAGCAGATGGCATGAGAAGAGAGAGGAGGTGCCTTACTAAGAAAGTAAGTCTGGAGAATAAAAATGTTATTCATTGCACATGAAGTGATGATGCAAATAAGTAATTAAAAGTTTTATAAATACTTTTAAAGCTTCATATGCTTTCCTTTAATTTTCCCTGCAGTGTGTTCCAGATGTTCTGAGTAATATATATATATATATATATATATATATATATATATAAACACACACACACATGATTGTTGTTATCCCAGTCCTGATTAAGTTTAATAGGGTCCCATCTTGTTTTTGAGTCTAGGAAGGACTTAACCACTTTCTACCATTACTCACAAATTAAGTATTTTTGGAGCTCATCCCTTTAGAGAAGAGTTTGGATGGATAAACCAGTCAGAACATGGCCCTCAAATTTGCTCTATGATCTTCATTTTTTTAGGTTTGTTTCTATTCTGATTTCCCTGATAAGAGCTAGAAACTGGTGCTTATCCACATCCCTCCTTTTTGACTTCAATTTTGGATCTTGTCAAAGTCCGGAGATAAAATCAAGGTGAAAAATAGGTGAATAGAGTCTTTTTTCCTCTGAAAAGCAACGAAACCATACCAGGTAATATACAATTTATTGGCTTGGAGCCCTACACAGGATATCTCATCTTTCAAATTTTTTCTTGCAATATTTCTCAAGTACAAACTGAATTTCCAAGTACAGTTAAGTCACCATGTTTGCCTCATACTTACAGGAATCATGTGGCAAAATGATTTAAGTTCATGGTACAATTTATGCTTAAAAATAAGGAGAGCAAAGAGTGTGCCATATACTTTTACAATAACTGTTATCATCAAATTGTAAAGACACCCCCTCCTCCCACATCAGACCCGGAGGGACAAAGAAATCCATCCCTGCTCTGGGCTTGTGGAGCCTCTGTTCTCTTCTCTGTGGTCTCGAGAAAATCAAGTACTACAAGTTTCATTTCTCATAAACTTTTAAAATATAAAGTTATTTCAATGTTCAACTTACTGGTTTCTGGATTTTTACCTAGTGCATCTGTACATGAGCACTTATTTCTTTGTCTTTTTTAAAATTATTGATAATAAAACCCTGGGATTTTGGTGGAGGGTTAATGACTAGTTTTATTTATTTTCTTAATGTGTCTTGGGGCTATTTCCAAATATGCTTTAAAAACACTAAACTATAGCCAAAGCCTTTTTAAAAAAAAGGTCGTATTCATCAGCATTTTATTCTTGATGCAATGAGGTTGATGGGAGACAGAACCATATATAAATGTATGACAAAGCCCTATAATTAAGTGGGGATTTATTTCCAAACTCTGGGGTAGACCCATAGTAAATTAGGCTCACTGCATGGAAATTCATTTTTCAAAGTGATGCTGGCTTTACAGAAGGAGCTGAACAAATGTGTGCCTTTACTCTTTCCTCCATAGTCAGGGCTTACCATCCAAGTATGCCAACACATCACCGCGGCAAACCCAGATTCGTTGTCCAGGTCAGGTGTGAAGTGGGTCCAAGACTGGAGAGCAATGGCTGCAACCCCAAGTCACTTTTGTGAGAAGTCCATGGAACACCCAAGTGCACATGGGGAAAGGCCCCATGAAGGAAAAGAGCAGATGAAGGAGGATGCCCACAGTTCCTCTGGAAGCCAACTGTCCCGATGAGAATATGGTAATGTCTGCTCTGGAGTAAGTGGTAGGACACATTGGAGATATAGTTTGTGGCGATGCTGTGTAATTGTGATATAGTATGTGATTGGTAAACCATCTGCTTCTCTTTCTGCACGGCTTCAGAAAGGTTGGGACCAGATTGGATATGGGTTTAGTTAAAATGACTTTGCCTTTTGAGTCTTGTCCCTACCTACTTTCTAGGATAAACCAAGATTATATCCTTAAAGGATATGAGGTTGCCAGTTTGAGGTGCTGGAGAAGAGAAAGGGCCCACTGTTTCTAGACATTTGCACTGACCTACCATAGACTGGGCACTTTACCAATGCTTTAATTGAACACTGTTTAAAATTTGTCATGAGTTATGACTCGAGGGTAGAAACTTAATGTACTTGTCAAATTAAAAAAGAAAAGAACAAAGTTTAAAATGACAAAAAAGGCAAAATTTGATTAAAAGGAACAGATCAGGCAAACCTATATCAGACTACAGGGGGGTATGTCCACGTGTGTTTTCCTAGAGAGAGGTTGTCCAGATGTAGGGAATTGTATGCATTTGAGAAAAATGATAATGGAAGAAAAATGATGGAATCATGATATCAAGTTTTACCTATTTCAACATTTTTGCTTATAGAAAATTGCTAGTGGAGTCATCTACTTGGACCTTTCTGTATTACTTTCATAATCTGCATTGGAAGCTGATGAAATAACCTGCTGGCACTGATAACCTGATTTGGCAACAGCCCTCCCTTTTTCTAAAACAGATACTTCCATTTTAGAAATGTTAAAACACATTCAGGTCAGTCCTACTGTTTTGTTTCCTGAGATCCTAAGGTTTAATTGCGTGACATTTAGGAGCAGATGTGGCACCACTAGTCATATCCCGTTTTACTGATCCAGGGATCCCTCTACTGCTCGGGCTTGGAAAGCTCTGAACACACTTACTTCTTAGCCTCTAAGACTTTATGCCTTAATTGGAGGTATTTTCGTGAAAACATAATATCTTAATGTAGACATTATAAAAATCAATCCAGCAAATTATAGAATGACATGAAGAGATGATACATTTCACATTAAATACCTACTGAGTGATTTCCAAAAACTATCCTAGATAAATTATATAAATAATTCATTTTAAAATGTGACTGATCCCTAAACTTCAACCTAATTAAAATGTCTATATCTTCAAAAGCAAGAGCTAACATTAAGTACACTTATGATTTTTTTATTATTAAATGGAAAGGAAGAAGGAAGGAAGGAGGAAAGGAAGGAAGGAAGGAAGGAAGGAAGGAAGGAAGGAAGGAAGGAAGGAAGGAAGGAAGGAAGGAGGGAGGGAGACAAGGTTATAGTTAATAGGACAAAGAAAGCAGAGGTCACATAAGGACACAGTAAATTGAGTCAATGTATTGTTCTGTTCAGCACCTGGCATATCCAAGAACATCTTTTTCAGTGTGAGTCAGTTCCATTAAGAAGAGTGACTCCCACACTAAAATTGCAGCAACTCGTACCCCCTTCCAACACAGTGTTTTATTCATGGAATTCTGGCATCAGTGGTTTTAAATCTACTTCTGCGCGGATCCTGATGACCTCTTCGATTCTCTCTTGAGAACAGCTGCTTCTGTGTCACAGATGCTCAGAGGAAGAAGAGAAAGCAAGTGTCCTGCTGTGTGCTTGTGCTCATTCTCGACATCTGCAGACCCAGCTGAGAGCACCTGCATTATTAGCTTTAAGGCTTGGAGACACCTATAAACTAAAAGGCAGAGTGTCGTCAATTTCAAAGTGAAAGTACCCTTTGGAGAGCCATAGTGTTTGTGTGTTTGTAACATGCATATTAAAGTCCCCATAACGTAGGGCCAAACGCTGCGATGTGATTCAGGGGCTGCATTACAGTTGCACGTTTACGGTTGTGAGAACGTTAAAGAACCTGTGAAATCCCCACCTTCACCTTATTTTCCTATTCAGAAGATACAAGAATGGTGCCTGAAAATGAAAGGCCAACAATACTCAGACTATGAATACAGAAAACGTGTGGCTATGTTCTTCGCAGCGATGACTCCAGAAGAAATTGCGGGCTCTGATATGGAAATATGACATTTTTTCTAAACAAATGCTAACGAAGGAGAGAATACAGTTAATACCATGTTAAGTCCCTGTAAAGCATCACTTCTCTACAAAGCAAAGTTACTGAGACAGACTCAAAGAGCAAATGATTTTCCTGAACGTTTATATTTTCAATATGCACATATGCAAAGCTGTGGGAGAACAGATGGAAAAATAATTGAACATATATGACAGTGGATTACCGTATAGATTACATCTGAATGTATTACAGATCAATGAGGAAAAATAAACATAATCATAAAAATAGTCAATGGACACAAATGCAAATCCACCAAAATACTTATCTGTCCTATGAAAAATATCCAATCTTCTTAAGAAATTGTAAACTAGGGGCACCTGGGTGGCTTAGTCGGTTAAGCGTCCGACTTTCCCTTAGATCATGATGTCGCGGTTTGTGGGTTCAGGCCCCGCGTCGGGCTCTGTGCTGACTGCCAGCTCAGAGCCTGGAGCCTGTTTCAGTCTGTGACTCCCTCTCTCTCTGACCCTCCCCTGCTCGCGCTGTCTCTCTCTCTCTCTCTCCTAGAAANCCCTCTCTCTCTGACCCTCCCCTGCTCGCGCTGTCTCTCTCTCTCTCTCTCCTAGAAATAAAACATTAAAAAAAAAAAAAAGAAATTGTAAACTCACCAAAACAATGATTTTAAGTTAATTAATTCTCAAAGATAATATTAATAATAGCTCAGCTTATTTAAAAAACTCATCTATAACTCATGTGAGGAATAACACAAACTAGGATATCATTTTTAGTGTAAATTGTTATAGTGTTTGAAAAGGATATTTGGCAAATCAACTTAAAATACCCTGATTTGTTTATGCATTTAATGGGGCAATTTCACTTAAAAAGAGAATTGCAAATACCATAAACATTATAATGGCAACAAAATATTAAAAAGCTAAGTAATGGGGGGGGTGCCTTGGTGGCTCAGTTAGTAGAGCATCTGACTTTGGCTCAGGTCATGATCTCACAGTCTGTGAGTTCTAGCCCCGTATCAGGCTCCATGCTAACAGCTGAGAGCCTAGAGCCTTCTTTGGATTTGTGTCTCTTTCTGCCCCTCCCCCACTCACATTCTGTCTGGCTGTCTCTGTCTCTCTCTCTCTCAAAAATAAATAAAATGTTAAAAAATTTTAAAAAGCTAAGTAATGGATAAGCAAGGATTGCAACTTACTTATATCTTCTGTCACAAAATATTCTGTAATTGTGTGAATATTTAAGGTAGTTTAGTTGATTTAAAATTATGATATGCTACATGGTGAACAAAATGGATTTCAGTAATATATGTAATATATATAAATCCCATTAGCTAACTTTTCAATACGTATGTTTCAGGGCTATGCTTTAGGTATATGTAGTTTCATGAGTGGACATCTTCAGATGCTGGGTTTAAAACCTGTCAAAAATATATCCACATCATTTACTGTTTGTACTATACATTTTAGGCTTGTTACACCAGATTATCTGAGGATGTGATGGGAGTAATTCAAATTGAAGTATAAAATTCAATCATCTTCCACAACACCTAAGAGTAGAAACAAGAATATGTAGCTTTAAATACTCAGCTTTGGAGGGGGTGGGTAAAGCCTAACTATTTTTATAAAGCCTCTCAAGTGATTCTGTAGTCCTAATAAGGTAAAGGAAAAAATGAATCCATGAAAATATATGGTGATCAAACTTTGGGAATAAAATCTGACACAGTGTACCTTTTCTGGGCATTTGTATGCATATTTCGGGAAACTTCTTTAACTTTCACAGGCTACTGAAGTACGAACGCTGTTTATTACCAAGAGACACAATTAGAGGCAAGTGCCATAAAAATGTGGGATCTGTTAGGGAGTTGTGCTTTGGAAAGAAGAGGAGACGTAGGTAGAGTTAATTCCTGATGGCTGTTCACCAACGCTCGACTTCTGTGGTGCTCTGAAAGGTTTCTTCCAGATGGATGTATCTGTTGGTCCAGATTTTAAGAAAAATAGATGTAGGACTGTGATTTATTTGATGAATGGCACCTTGAAGCATCAAATACCAACTCTACATTTGTCCCCCTATCTGTGCTATTCTTAGTCCATCACCTGGTTTATGATGAAACTTGACCCAAATACTAAATGTTAGTAACAACAGAGTGCTTCATGTTTTCATGATACACTTCCGCAATTATTCTCAAAGTCAAAAAAGTTACTTGAACACAAGAACTCCATGTTTTAGCTTATTTTGGTAGAAATATTCTGTTGAAGAGTAAATTTTTCTCATGACTACTTTATCAAATCTTTGTAAAATATTTGATTACCAAAGATAAATACAAGTTTTCTTCCTCTTACTTCCCATGTTTTTTCCCCAATAACATATTTTCCCATAACATATTTTCTATACTTCAGTTGTAAAACTCATCTCTATTCTATTCTGCTTGGTCTCATAGATATTTTTCTTTGTCTTCTTGCCAGCACCATATATTACAACAACTAAGATAAAAGACCCTCAAAGGCAGGGATCTTGTCTATGTGCCCTTGATCTGGTAGCAGAAATACTAGTGTAACAATCTGTGAATGTGGATGAAAGTTGGACAGCATATGCATAGGCTTTAAACGTGTGCTTGGCAGATTTAAAATAAGAGTGAATAAGTTATAGACTCATTTAAAGTATATAAGCTAGACCTCAGAAGCAGAAGTACATTAAATTCAACAAATCCCTAGGAAGGGTTATAAATGCAATGGGAAATTCTATGCAATTTCATTTTCAGAGGCCAAAGAAGACTTTCTCTTCATTTGAGATTCTGGGTTTTACATTGCTGCTCTTGGTATTATATAAAAAAATCTCCCTACTGCTAGAAAAATAGGCAAAAATCCGGTTGAGAAAATTATGTAGTTTTTTTCTCCAATAAGGGAGATTTTACGTAAAATCTTTTAGATTAGATATCTTTTAGATATCTTACGTAAAATGGCTCATGTCTATGTAAGATAGAAATCTCATCCTGTTATATGTCTGAGATAGCACTTATATCCTTATAGGAAAATAGCAAAAACAACTCCTAATATTTAGAGTATGTTTAAATTAATTTCAGTATCATCATACAATACAATATTATATAGATGGTAATTATATTTTAAATGATTGGTAAAGTAGTTAATGAAATAATTATTAAGATAATGACTATGTTCTTAAGCTAATAAGCAAAACTATAGCCTTCAAAACCCTTTAAGTTTTGTGAGTGAGTGAGTGAGTGGGTGAGTGTGTGTGCATGTGTGTGTGTGCGTGTGTGTGTATGAGTGTACATACATAAACAGAATGCACCAAAATGTTTGCAATAATATTCTGAGAGTAGGAATTATCAGATGATAGTTCCTTTTTCTCTATTTTCTAAAATTACTTTTTGTGATCAGAAAATGCGATTTTCAAACATGCTAAAGTGGTGTACATATAAATATTTAATTTGCTATACCACTTATGGCAAGAAAAAGCTATTGAAAGTTCTCATTGGTGACAAGTAACTTACAGTTTTCTAAAAATGATTGAATTGCATACATAAAGGGTCCATTGCCAGCTAATAACTCTTGGTACAGTAAGTACTCCAGGAGTCCTACACTGCTGAACAGACTTACCCACAGAACAAATAAATCAACAATGGAAAATAAACAATACACCTTTTCTTTTTTCTTTACCTACTCTCTGCACCCGAAGTGGAGCTTGAACTCACAACCTAGGGATCAAGAGTAGGTCAAGAGTAAGATGATCTAACAGCTGAGCCAGCTAAGTGCCCCCAATTCACCTTTTTGTTTTGACATATGAATACCTGTCGTCATTAAGTATGATGTGTTATGAAAATATGTCTACAAATTACATAAATTATACTTGAAATGATTTTTTTCTCAACAACAGATGGTTTAGAGCAAACATTGTCAGAATTATTATATGACTGTAACTCTAGTCACACAATAAAAATTTTAATTATCAATCTGTTAATGTATAGTTGAATACACAGAGACTTGTTTTAGTACTATTTTTAAATTTGAAAACAAAGTAGCTTCTAGAAAAATAACTTTTGATATAAAATGTTTATCTTTCCAGATCAGTTTGTACTCCAGTAAACACATAATACTTCATGTTGGATTTTAAGGATTGGGTTGATTGGTTTTGTTTCAATTTGGTAGTTTAATTTTTTATTATTGTTATTTCTGAAAAAAAAGATTTGATTTCTGTATAAATAATATAATAGGATGAGATAAATACAATATATTCAAGAGTACAGTCTTTAGTCATAGCTTCCAACTTCAAGTCTTAACTCTGTCTTTTGTTAACCATGTTTTATCTTTTTAAAAACAAACTGATAGCAATGGCTACTTAGTATTATTTTCTTGATGATTGAGTTGATGAATATATGTAAAGCCCTTATAAGAGTAATTGGCCTATAATAAAATTTGACAAATGTTAGCTTCTAAGTATACGTACTAATTGTAAATGCAGTCTAAAGAAAAGGCCTAGTTTGAGAATTCAAGAAGTCTTTTTGAAGTTACTAAAACTTCTAATATCATCAAAGATGTTTGAGCAATACACTTCTAAGAATCTGCAATGAGGTAATTGATTTTAGGCAAGAAAGCCAGCTCTTTGAGGACAGGGTAGTTCTTCATGACATCTAAAAGGATTAAAATATCTAAAATACATCTACAGATAAGGAGCTTTCGAGCAAATTACAAAATTAACAGGCAAATCCTCAATTGCAGAAGAGTATGAGATCCATTGGATGTTACGTATTTATGATCTGCAGCCCTTGAGTATGGAGCTCCCAATTAGTTCACAAACCTTTGTACATAAGTGTGTAGGTGGGTATAGGAGTCTCTGTAACTTTTATTAGATAGTAAGACGTGTCTTTGGCTTCAGACTAGTATAATAACTTGGGCTAGATTTATGTAGAAAATGCAGTCATGGCGTCAATGAGAAAACGATGAAGTCTGCTTGAATTAGGTACAGGAGACTTTCCAATGAAGGCAATCACACAGCTGAACATTAAAAGGGGACTAAGATTTCATGTGGGGGACAATAGAAAATAGTTTCAGATAGAGAGCGGCATTGTATCTGATGGTGACTGCAAGAAAGCAGGAATGAATAGGACAAAAGGTGGGTGTAGGAAAATAAGGAGATATGAGGATGGTTAATTAAGTGTGACATCATAAAGGGCCTTTATGCCATAAATAAACTAGAGTTATCTTAAGGTTAAATGCCAACATGTAACAATTTTCATAGGGCCATACCCTGGTTTGTTTTCCTTTAGAAGTGTAATTCTGAAATGCTCAAAATGGCTTATCAAGATCGCATCCCAAATAAAATTTATTTACAAAAGTCCATTTCAGATATAAGGGAGGCCTGCGTCAAGATGGCGGCATGGGATAGAGCATCATGGAAGTGA